TATTAGGCAAGAGTTTATCTAATTCTCTTAATATTTCATGTCTTACTGGGTTTTTCCTGATTTTTAAGAAATTGTCTTCCTGCCTCCCACTCCATTTTGAAAGCACAGTCACTATCTGTGTATGCTTCTCTCATTCCCTCCTCCCTTCCTTCAGGGCTTTGCTCTCACATAGAAATTGCCTTATTTGGAGTGATGAATGCTTTGAAGCGGTGTTGCTCTTGTGATTGTTTACTTTTCATCACTATGAAATCAGCCTCTCTGAACAATCTGGATTATTCTGATTACATATTCTACTTGAAACAGATTTTAAATTTTTCATTTTTTAAACTTTTACTTCCCTAAGCCTAAGCACTTTATTTATGGCAAAGAATAGAAAACACTTTGTGTGGTTCCCTCCCTACTCGTATTAGTTTACGTCCTCATTATAAGAAAACTCCTGAGTTTAAACTAGATCTTACTAATTTTCTGTTTCTTTATTCTTAGAGTAGTTGTCCAGTCTAGGATATTGGAGGGCTTTTGTTTGTTGTTTACTTACACCAATCATTTCCCCAGGGAGCTGCCTTTCTAACATTTCTACCAGATTTCCTCCCAATATAACTACACAGAAGATAGTCTTAAAATTCATGGCAACAGTGTTTTGGTATGTAGATTGTTCCTTTTTAAAGAAAAAATCTGTTTCTGTATTCTTAAAATTGGTCCATTTCACTTAGTTTTCAGTCTGTCCTTGAATTCCAGTGTTTTGTCTCATTTACTCTTCCTCATCCTTAGGTTTTAGGACAGGTAGCTTCTGGAATTGTTTTATACAAATGCAGGCTATCTTCTGTAGCAGGAATTGCTTTAATTAATTTTATTTTGCTGTAGAAACAAATAACCTTGTAAAATATACATTATTAAAATAGCAAACTCACAGGACCTCCCCTGTAAGGTTCTGTAGCTCTGTTTCTGCTCTGTGAACTGCTGCTCTCTGAAGGGAAATACATTGTTGGTTTGATGTTGAATGCTGATTGTTTATATTTACTTTGATTGTATCTTGATGTTAATTCTAATGTCGATTTCTTTGCGGTATTTCCCTTTAATGACCTGTTAGATGACTTCAGCTCATTTTCATTTATGATGTTTAGAATAGGATCATGGGCATCTTTTATTTTTAATCCTCACCCCAGGATATTTTTTCCATTGATTTTTAGAGAGAGAGGGTGGGAAGGAGGGAGGGAGGGAAAGAGAGAGAGAAACATCAATTGGTTGCCTACGTGGATGGGCCTCAACTGGAGCCAGGGATCCAACCTGCAGCCCAGTTATGTGCCCTTGACCAGGAATTGAACCCTTGACACTTTGGTGCATGGACCAATGCTCTAACCACTTAGCCACATTTACCAGGACAGGATCATAGGGATCTTGATGTGAATTCTGATTTGCTCCCTCACTGGCAATATGACTCCAGGCAGTATGACCTCTTATACCTCAGTTTCCTCATTTATCAAATGGGATAGCACTGGCTGGTGTGGCTCAATTGGTAGGAGTGTTGTCCCATACACCAAAGGGTTTCAGATCGATTCCCAGTTAGGGCACATACCGAGGTTGCCAGTTCGATCCCTGGCTGCGGTTGAGACGCTTTGGGGAGGCAACTGATTGATGTTTCTCTCCTCCCCTTCCCCTCTCTTTAAAAATGAAATTGAACTAGGGTGAGAATTTAAAAAAATAAAAACAATGAAGTGGGATGGTAGTACCTACTTCATAGGATTGTATGAGAATTAAATGAGATAATATTTACTAAACACTAAGTAATGTCTGGCACACATGTTAACTGGTAGGTAGAAAACTTACTCTCAGGGCAAGGGTCATTGAAGTAACTTGTTTTCTATAGCTCTGTTTCTACTTTGTGAACTGCTACTCTCTGAAGGGAAATAAATTGTGACTTTTTATTCCCATTCACAAGATAGTGAAAGCATCATATGAGAGATACGTTGGTTGCCTCCTACATGCACCCTGACCAGAGGCCAGGGATCAAGCCTGCAACCAAGGTATGTGCCCTTGGCTGGAACTGAACCCGGGACCCTTCAGTTCAAGGGCTGATGCTCTAACCACTGAGCCAAACTGGTTAGGGCGAGATTAACTTTTTTATTACCAGTACGGATGCCATTTTAAAATTTGGTCTCAAGCACATTATTTTGACCCCCTACTCATAACATTATATAAAACCTATCTTTGAGATTTAGAAATATTTTCCAGGTTGGCAGTTACAACAGAAGATTATGTAGTTCTTTTATATTCATCTATTCTCTCTATCCCTAGACAGCTGACATCAACAGTCAGTACTGTTTATTTTCTGCTTTCAAGCTGTCATGTGAAAGAAGTGGCTTTTTAGCTTTAAGGTTTAATCCAGTCTAGGCACACCCTTGCTCCACTGAAGCCTCTTTTGAATGCATTGTTTCTAATTTTTATTTAGTGTGCAAAGTAGTGTAGTTAGTGCATGATTTATTTTTATCAATCAGGAAATAAATTCGGTTCTGATAGTTTTTGCAACTCCATTATGTTTTCTGACTAAGTGTTTAGGTGATGGTTCTCAAATGTCAAACTTATACTCATCAGTTCTACTTCTTGGTAGGTTCTCAACAGAAATGCCTGCACATATATATCTAGTACAAATTTAAGAATTTTCACAGCCACATTATTTGCAGCACTTCAAAACAACCCAAAAGACCTTAGTAGTCAAGTGGATAAATACACTGAGGTATATTAGATGAAAGAATCCTGAAACAACAGACTATATACTGTAGTATTCCGTTTATATAAAGTTCAAAACTACTAAAATTACATTGTATTATTTAGCAATGCGTATTTAGGTATTGTGACTATAAAGAAATGCAAGAAATATAATACCATGAAAGTCAGGATTGGAAAGGGGAATGTAAAAGGCTTTGAGGAGTGGTGGTTAAGTTCTGTTTCTTGATTTGGGATGTAATCATACAGACATATGCTTTAAAAAGGTTTATTAACCTGTACTTTTGTGTTTTATGCCTCTTTTTGTGTGTTGTTTTCACAGTATGGTTTTAAAATAGGAAAAAATGAATAATTGTCTCTCTAGAGTATCCCTAAAAACTAGGGAGTTTTCTTTTTTTTTTTTTTAATATATCTTTATTGATTTCAGAGAGAGGAAAGGAGAGGGAGAGAGAGAGATAGAAATATCAATGATGAGAGAGTCATTGATCAAGCCCGCAACCCAGGCATGTGCCCTGACCGGGAATCGAACCCCAGTCGCCTGGATCCTAGGTTGACGCTCAACCGCTGAGCCACGCCCGGCCGGGCAAACTAGGGAGTTTTCAAAAAGAAAGAAAATCCTCTGTTTTACCTTCCATTTGTGCCAAGGTAAATAGCTCTTTTAAGACCTCTAGTTATCATTACATGGAAATTCTCATTTGCGTCCTGGCAAACTAGGGAGTTTTCAAAAAGAAAGAAAATCCTCTGTTTTATCTTCCATTTGTGCCAAGCTAAATAGCTCTTTTAAGACCTCTAGTTATCATTACATGGAAATTCTCATTTGCGTCCCTGGGAGGTCTCTGACTTTTAGTACTCCTAAAGAGCTTGTGGACTGCACCCCAATTTTGTGAACCAGTGATTAGAAACTTTTTTAAAAACAGTATTTTTTCTTTTTTAATCATGGGCCACTAACATTTCACCAGATTTGATAATAAATATAACTTTATATAATTTCAGTAGTGATAGTAGCAGCAGATAATTATTATTTAGCACTTATATACTAGTACTATTCAAAACTTTTTATATGTATTTAATCCTTAGTTTTAGAAAACATTCAAATAATTTTTCCAAGTTTGATCCCTTTAAGAATAGATGCTCAATTCATTTATTCACCAAATATTTATTAAACATTTACTGTGTATATACCAGGCATTAATTTAGCTGTTGTGGGTATAGAAATGAACAAGACAAAGAAAGCTTTACCTTCATGGGTTTACATTTCCTTGAAGAGTCAGAAACTAATAAAATAATATGTTAGGTAATGATGAGTCCACTAAAGAAAAATGAAAGAATATAATGCAGTAGGGAGCAACAAAGGTAGTATGAGGAATTTGAAGAGAGATAGTACAAAACTGAGTGAGTTGTACATGTATCTGGGGAAAGAGTCGGTGAGAAAGAAACGGTGTGAAAACCCAAGGCAGATCTGAAATTGGAGTTTTAGAACAATAAAAATGCTCTGAAAAAAATAAAGGACCAGCCCGGCCAGGCGTGGCTCAGCGGTTGAGCGTTGACCTAGGATCCGGGGTTCGATTCCCTGTCAGGGCACATGCCCTGGGTTGCAGGCTCGATCCCCAGTCAGGGGTGTGCAGGAGGCAGCCGATCAATGACTTTCTCGTCATTGATGTAAGGGGATGTACAGGATAGATATATTACCCTCCTCAGTGAAATGCAGAATATGAAAATCTGACTTTAAATTATAAAGTAGTTGTATTACACATTTACAGAGAATCCCCCACAAAACAAAACGTTTATTTATTTAAATAGTTAACTCTTCTAAAATGATTCATTTTACTGAAAAATGTTATATAGGCATCTCTGCTGAATGGAACCAATAGGGAAAAGTAAACTATTGGTATAACATAATTTGTATTACTTCTTATTTAAAAAAAATACCTTCTCAGAATTTCTTTATTTCAACTTAATATCCTTGATTTAAAAAGAGTTGCTTTGTTTGTTCTGACTACTTTAAAAAAAAAAAGTGCTAAGCTTTTAAAATAAGGTGAAAACTAATGAAAATAAAAGGCAAATTGTTCCTCTCTCCCCAGATTTCTGCATTAATCTGATTGCTCCATTATAGTTCGAGCTCTCTTACATCTCCATCCAGGGTCTAGTTCTTGTTCGAGCCTAGTCACGGGAGTAATGTTATCATCTTTAAATTTGGTCATGGAATGTGTTGCACTGCCCTACTCAGGGAACTGCTACTCGGTTTGGGCTTGGATAGTAACTTTTATTTTCTTTGGCAGAGAAGCTGATCGTTGAGGGGCATCTAACCAAAGTGGTTGAAGAAACAAAGCTTTCAAAAGGTTTGTGTTCTGTGGGATTTTTCTGTGGGTTTGACAACTCTTGGATAATGAAGGTTAGTGTACATTTTCAAGGTCATAGCATTTTAACAATCAGTTTATTTCTTATAGCTCACAAAATGGCAGTCCTGTAATTGTGTCATATAATAATATAAAATAGTTGGAGTTCTGTTTTAAGAAGTATATCTTAATTGGCAAGTTTCTTTTTAAAAGGGTATATGTGTGTGTTTTTAAATGCTTAGAGTAGGTTTCTTTAGGTATTAAAGATTTTTTGCGATCTCTTTCACTTCAGCTTTGAACTCTAATTTTTAATCGAACACAGTGTAAATCTTATTTGAAACAGCAAGTCAAAAATATTTGCAGTTCCTTTTTGGGGGGATAGTGTATACCTTTAACATTTCTTATGATCGTATTTTCTTCATTTTTTGGTATCTCAATTTAATTTGAACAAAAGTGGATATGTAGAATCTTCTTATACTTTATAATGATAGTCCTATAATTGCCTGAAGTAGTTTATTCTGTTAATTCTTTTCTGTTACAATTGTCAGACTTAGAGAAGAAAAGTGAGTTTTAAAGCATGGTATTGTCAAGGCACTTTTGTGCATAGGGAAATTTGGCATATTAGATGGGATATGCTTCTTATTATTCCAGGACTTTTATCAGAACATACCAGCATAAAACCTAAAGCTAGATCCCCAATCATTTTGGTCAATTAAAACAATTAGTGATAAAAGTTTGGAATACTCAATTTCAGTATATTCTATTTAATGAAAATAATTGGATCTATTTGGCTTTTATAAATATTTAAAAGGATAGTGTTATTTCAAATATCTGGTAGCTTCCATTCTGAATTTTGTGCATGGCAGATGCCATATTTGGGGAAAGAATGCATAGAATATTCATCACTAATATTGTTCTGGCAAGCAGGCATTGAGTTTCAGAACAGTGAACTATTTTTAGTACATATGGCAATTTATTTCATCTTATTAAAGTGAGATGAGAACAGACTTTAAAATAGCTTTTACTTCACCACCTAAATACCTATTCAGATTAGTTGGTTGAATAGCCAACACTTTGAAGTGGAAGTAGAGCCTTAGGGGGGAAAAAAATCAGTGCTTCTTTAATTAAAGAAAAGTATCTTGATGCTTCTTTTTAATGCATTCTGAATTAGACTATATTTGTTCGAAATTATGTGATGTCATTTTTGAAAAAAGTTTGTGCAATCCTACTGATTTCCTTTTGAAACCTGGCTAGAAAATATGTATTGAAAATTTTAAAGAGCATGCTTTCATTAAAAAAAATTATGTTTTGGGGGGTGACAATGGTTAATATGAACATACTGGCTTCTGATGTGGGTTTTCAATGTTATAAGATCTGTATATTGCACTGTGTGCCCCCACCCAAAGTCATATCTTAAGAGCATGCTCTTAGATCTAGCAGTTCCACTTCTGGGTAATTATCTTAAGGAAAAAAATTGAACAAATGTGCAAGGGCATTTGTTAGTGTTACTTTTTTTGGTTTTTGGTTGTTTTTTTAATTGATTTTTATTTTTAGAGAGAAGTGGAGAGAGAGAGAGAGAGATCAATTTGTTGTTCCACTTATTTATGCATTCATTGGGTGATTATTGTATGTGCCCTGACCAGGGATTGAACCCATAACCTTGGTGTATTGAGATAACACTCTAGCTAATTTAGCTACACTGCCAAGGCCTGTTTTAATGTTATTTTAAAAAGCAAAAAGAGAAAAACATAGGTGTTCAATAATAAGGGCATTTATTAAATAAATTATAGCAAGTAAGTCCATGCAAGAGAATAGAATACACCCTTTAAGAATAATAATATAGTGCCCGGCCAGCGTGGCTCAGTGGTTGAGCACCAACCTAGGATCCAGGCGATCGAGGTTCGATTCCCGGTCAGGGCACATGCCTGGGTTTTGGGCTTAATCCCCAGTAGGGTGCGTGTAGGAGGCAGCCGATCACCGACTCTCATCAGTGATGTTTCTATCTCTCTCCCTCTCCCTTCCTCTCTCTGAAATCAATAAAGACATTTAAATAATAATATAGATACAAGTTTTATATACCCAGAAATTTTTCTGTCAGCAGTCAGCATTTTACTAGTACTTCTCAGAGTAAACATGCAGAGGTAATAACTGTAACAAACTAGATGGCTGACATAAATTTTATTTTAAATATTTTATATTGGCTATAAACTATTTTCTTTTGGATCTGACGGAATTGTCTTATTTTTATTTTATTGGTAATGTTTTTGGGGGAATTTTCTTTTCTGCATTGAAAGTATCACTTGCTAAAAATTGCCAATTATCAGCTGTACAATCATAGTATTTTCTTCAGATATTTTACTTAATGCAAAAGGTAATCACTGGTTGCATATGCTTTCTGTTTAAGCCCTTACTCAACTTGTAGTTATTACATATTTACAATTGCTTTAGGGGTGAAAGTAGTAAGAATATGAATAGGTAAGACACCTGGATTCAACTTCAAGTTCTACCACTAGCTGTATGCCATCAGGCAACTAACTTTAGCTATTTAAACCTCAGCTTCCTCATTTGTAAAATGGGATTGGCAATATTGACTTGTAGAGGTTTGTGGGAATTTAGTGAAATGCTGCTTCTAAAGCAGGAAGCGCCACTCTGGTATCCACACATATTTTAGCTTTCCTTTCCTTTCTTGGTCCTTAACCTTGCTCTGCTTCCAAGCACTGGCTCTGGTGCCATACGAAGTGGTCTATGGCCCATGTTTGTTTTGCCCATCCATCGTTATGTCTACTCAAAGAGACAGTGAGAATAGTCACCTTGTTGTAGACTACTTCTCAGTTTGGGAATAGTTTTGGTATTGATGTTGGTAGCTGTTTTTTTCATTTCCTTCTGTATACTACTGGCATGTATCTTAATGATTAAATACTGCAGAGAAAATTAGCCAGTAATGACTTTTTATACTAGAAAATTGGGTGCTGCTTCATAGCTGAAGAATAGGGGTTTTGAAAAGAAGTAGATACCTCACCAGTCATTTGTTGTGTCCTGTGCTTCATTCATAAATAGATTTGATTTGCCTCTGTATAATAACTGTAATATCAGGACACAAATATGGTGGACCATGAGTTTATTAGCTAAAACCTTGCTCTTTTACTTCAGTCATCTTTTTTTTTGAAGCACCTGCTATGGACTGTGCACTGTTCTATGCAGTGAGTGCGTTGGGTGGGGTAGAGTGGGGGGTTTATAACAGCTAATAAACAGACAAAAATCCCTGACTTCATCGAACTCATATTCTAGTAAGACCTTAATGAAAGGTTTGGGCCAACTTTTAAGGCAATTTTACCTTCCTGGCTAATACTCTAAAGTAAGAGTTCTTCCCTAGCTGGTTTGCCTCAGTGGTTAGAGCATTGACCCTCAGATTGAAGGGTCCCGGGTTCGATTCTGGCCAAGGTCATGTACCTCAGTTGCAGGTTCAATCCCCGGCCCAGTCGGGGTGTGTTCAGGAGGCAACCAATCAATGTGTCTGTCTCACATCAATGTTTCTCTCTCTCTCTCTCTCTCTCTCTCTCTCTCTCTCTCTCTCTCTCCCCCCCTCCCCCTCCTCCCACCAAAATACACATTAACTGGCCCTTTCTCCAAGAAACCTTTTCCTACCCACCGGCATGACTAAGGGACATCCTCTGGTTTTTGATAGAACTGAAATTACCATCCCATGTAGTAATTTGGAGCGTATCTGTTACCCCATAGAATACATATTAGCATCTCAGAGTACTGGATATGCTCATTTGGCTTTGCAGCTCAGGCCTCTAGAGCTGGAGCTGACACATAAAATCCATACTCATTTCTTGAAGGAAGAGAGGGAGGGAGGGAGGGAGGGCACTTGGACCTTAGTAGTAACTAAAATAAATAGTGTTGACAGGACTTCTTTGGTTTAATATAAAATCATAGAATCTCAGAATGAAAAAGGACCTTCACGTTAATAGCTACTGTTCCATAGTTACTTCTTACTTGANATAACAGATAAAATTTCCTTCTAAACCAGAAGAATACTTTTGAAAATATATCCCTCTTGGTTTTACCTCAATATCTTGATCATAAAATTGCCAAGAACATCAAGATCAGAAGAGAGTCATTTTTCTGTTTTCCTTTCTGTTCCCCCAGAGTGGTTCTTTTTCTATCTGTATAGATTAGATGTTCTTGCCCCTTATTTGAGACTGTAACTTTGTGACCAAAACTAGGACATTTGGAAATGTCTGATTATAGTATGCTGTGAATGCACCAGAACAGATTGGATGCCCATGGGCCTCATGGTTAGTACTGCACTTCTAATCTAAGTTCCCTGTTTCTCAGCAGTTGACCTTTGACTAGAAATGTCAGTAAGAAAAGAAGCAAAGGCTTTTTGTACTCTATCATCCATTTTACAAGTTAGGCCACAAATTCTAGGAGTGTTCTTAAATGGAATAGTCATAAGTTATATTTTAATATTGTATTAAACATTTTGACAGTAATGACTTTAGGTAGGTTTCTGATTGCTTTCAAGATGGAAAATATGTCTTAATTTAGTTGATTATAAGACACTATATATTTACTATAATTTTTCAAATAATTTATGACTATGTGATGTTAGAAAGTAAATGTCCACCATGTCCCTATTTCCAGAAGTAACTATTGGTATCTCTGTTGTAGATCTTTCTACATTTTAATAAATGTATACAACAAAAATTTATAGCTGAATGTATAGCTATTTTAATCTAAATGGGGTCATATTATACATACTGTTCTTTAACAGACTTTATTTTTGCTTCTTAATAGTATTCAATATATCTTGAATGTTTTCCATTTCATAATGAACAATGCTGCAGTGAGCATTTTTATAGGTACTGTATGTAGTCTACTATTTCCTTAGGAAAAGTACTAGAAGTGGATATGTGCATTTAAGTTTTGATACATAACACCACAAACAGTACAGTCAAGTGTATAACATAAAACATAATCATATTCTTAGTGTATTTATAATCTCACTAGAAATAACATATAGCCTGGCTGGGCGTGGCTCAGCAGTTGAGCGTCGACCTAGGATCCAGGCGATTGGGGTTCGATTCCCTGTCAGGGTACATGCCTGGGTTGTGGGCTCAATCCCCAGTTTGGGGCACAAAAGAGGCAGCCTATCAATGACTCTCTCATCATTGATGTTTCTCTCTCTCCCTCCCTCTCCTTTCCTCTGAAATCAATAAAGATATATTTAAAAAATAAATATACATGTTTCTATAAAAAAAAAGAAATAACATATATGTGTGTGTGTATGTATGTGTATATATATATATACATACACACACACACACACACAAACAGAATGATATGAAATAGGACATGATTAATTTCAAAAACATATGACTCAGAGAAGATGCAATAAAAAGGAGCAGGATGCTGGAGATATGAAGACTTCCTTAAAGGTGATGGGGCTCAAGCTGTATCTTACAGAATAAATAGGCCAAGTAGAGAGAGTGATCATTGAGTTTAGGGAATTTCAGCTTAAGCAAAGAATTGCAGGTCATAATGAGCTGACATGCTTTGGCCCTCTAAAGAGGCTGGCCTAACTGAAACAAAGCTCATGTGGGAATTAATGCAGGGACCAGATTATGGCTAATTGGCTAAGGCCTAAATGAGAACAGGGAGATGCTAAAGGATTATGGTCAGAGAAATAACCGTCTCTGTAGGCGCTATCATAATGCATACCATAATATACACAAATGTGCATTTCAGATGAGAATCTAGGGCCTTATTCATTCCCAGTCACTTTTAATTAATTGTTGGAGTTACAGTTAGGATTTTTTAAGAGCACTTGGTTGAAAACTATATCTAGGATGTCTTCATTGAATCAGGCAGCACAGTACTTGCAAATATAAATCTTTTAAACAAATTTTTCTCAATGTGGTTCAGGTACAGTTATATTTTCTTTAGATATATAGAAACATTGTTGCCCTGGCCAGTGCAGCTAAGTGGTTAGAGCATCGGCCCGTACATGTATGGGTCATGGGTTTGATTCATGGTCAAGGGCATGTACCTGGGTTGCAGGTTCAATCCTTGGCCCAAGTCAGGGTGAGTGCGGGAGGCAACTGATCAATGTATCTCTTTCACATTGATGTTTCTCTCTTGCCCCCTCCCTCCCTCCCTCCCTCTCTCCCACTCTCTCTAAAATAAATCAACAGAAAAAATATCCTTGGTTGAGGATTAACAAAAAAATAATAAATAAATTAAAAAAGATGCTTTTTAAAAAGTAAAAAAATAAAAGGCTATTAATTTTATTGTTTCAAATGTTACTTTTATAACAAATAATTGTTATTTTACTTTTGTTATGAGTATAAATATTACTAAGGCAAACTAGTGTTTTTATATAATAGAACCATTTTCTTTGATCATCTTCATAAAATGTCCACATTTTCCTGGGAATTTGCTATATTTGTTGCAATTCTTTAAATACTTTAGCAAAGCTTGCTTCATTTTTGTTTCCAGTTGGTCAGTGGACAGCCTTGAACAAAAGCCCCAGCCCTCTGCACAGCAGACATGACCCACATTATAATTTAATATGAGCTGCAAGTAATAACCAGCATTCCATATGGGACTAGAGTGGTGAAGAAGTAAGACATCCAGTGACTCAGTGAATTTAAAGTATTTTGCATACAAGTAGATTTAGAGCATGCAGAGCCTGAAGCAGCTTTTTGATAGAAGCTATTTAATTATAATGAGATTCTGCTTTTATTTTTTTTCTTGGTAGAAAACCAGGCAAAAGCAAAGGATTCTGATTTATCAGATACTCTGAGTCCAAGCAAGGAAAAAAGTAGTGACGACACTACAGGTGAGCCTTAACCTGATGTTTACTAACTTGTAGATGTTATTATTACCAAGCAGTTTAGATATGCAGGTTAATGTGGGTGGAGATTTCAAAGCTTGTGTCTGAGGAAAAAGCAGTGCTTTCATTTACCAAGTCATTTTCTTGAATCTTGGATAAAAATATACAAATACAATAGCTGTGTGTTTCAATTATTCAAATACAATAGGAGTATAAATTTCAGTTACTTATTTTGATAGTAACAGCTTGCTAATAGAGTTCACTACTGTTTGTAATTATCTTTTTCCCCCTGTAGACGCCCAAATGGATGAGCAAGACCTAAATGAACCGCTTGCTAAAGTGTCCCTATTAAAAGGTATTTTAACATGTTTTTATGACATTTTAAACCAGGGCATCAGATTTATTTGCCCTTTTCCACAAAATCAATTTCATGTATAACGTGATGTTTTCAGTTTTAGTTAGAAGATTAAGATAAGTTCTGTAAAGTAGCAGGAACTAAAATTTAAAATGTTGGTGTTGATGTCAATGTTTCAAACAAAAATATTTAAATTGTAAAATAATGTGTATCGGTCTAGGTTATGAAGGGCAAAGCAGGAAGTGGTAGAATATGAAATGCAGCAATTTTTTGTGTGTTTACCTTGATGCCTCTGATAGAAACTCATTACTACTTTTAACATAAATTAGAAAAAGGTGAAAATATTAACTTTGTTGAAAACAACCACCTGTTTGCTCTGTTATCATATAATAGCAGTTGTAAATTTCCTCATTTTCTGGTCCTCCTCTCCAATAAAGATACCCAGGTTCTTAGGACACATTTCTAGAGATTTTGGGTGGGGCTAAAATAAGTAGTGCTTGTAATAAATTCTTTCACTTGCCTCACTTCTAAATAAGAAGTACATTTATTTCTCAATATTTACTCTTTAGAATGAAATGAGTAGGAAATAAATCAACATTTATAGAAGCGTTTTAAAATAAAGTGCCTTGGGTTGGCTTATTTATAAATCTGTGGTTGTCAGCATTTAGACTCTTCTATTGCCATATTGTACACAGGAAAAGTTGACATGTAAGTTCAGACCAATTGGTTAAACATGTTGGTGGCAATGGACTAATACCAGGCAGCTCTCTGAAATCAGCAGCAGAAGCAGGCTATGGAAGTTTCTCTGTGTAGAAATACTTATGCTCTGGCTGGGCTATTAAGGCATCTCCCAGTTCAGACCCTGAGCTTTGGAATATATAAGGAAGCCTTAATTTCATCCTGCATGACCTTTCTCCTGGCCTAATTGTGTAATGATGGGATTGAGGGTGGCTAACAAAGAGATTACCTAGATTCTCTTAGAGTTCCTTAGTCTGGGCATCCTGGCCTTCTTTTTTCTTCCCCATGGATACTGAAGCTCACATAGCTCTTTGAGCCACCTTTGATTGAATTCCATTACCAAGGGAAGCCCTGAGGATTACTGGACCAGGCAAATTGCCACCTTGTCCTCAAATATGAGCATAGTTTCCAGCATTCTTCTCAGGTGACCTTTGATGTTGATAAGGCATGCTTTTTTTCTAGTGTTATAAATAATAAATCTATATTTATTTTTGCATAGCCCAGAAATCTCATCTTGGAACATTTCTGATTCTTCACAGAAGTGCAGTACTGTTATTATATAAAAAGTTGTTACTGAAAACATGTCAGAACCCTTGGGCCTTTGTGGGAACATAGAAAAACAAGAGGGAAGGTGAATGAGTAATGAAAATCTGTCATATAAAAGTAGCTGTTCTTTTGGTCTTTTTTACTATAGAAATCTTCCAGAAATCTTTTCAGCAGCCAAGTTCAGATTGCTTTATAAGTAGCATTTATGATTGTATTAATTCTATTCAACTGTTATTAGTGCTTTTGTAATTTTATGTCACTCTGTTCTCAATATTATTTTTATCCTATTGCCTACCACAGTGCCAGAAGTTCAGTAAAACTCAGATATTTGTTGAATGAATTGATGAAAGACCTCTTACATTAAAGTTATAAAACCACAAGAGCATTAGGAAAGTAACATTCTAGACAAGAAGCTAAGAATCAAAGAGCTCTGGACTCAATCTCAGCTTTGTTATTTATTTGTAATATGCCCTTGGGAAAATTGCTTAACCTCTGTGCTTCACTTTTTTTCATTTGTCAGACTGGGAAAAACTGACTTCATAGGGTTATTGTAAGGATTAAATTAAATAATGCATTTACCATGGTTTTGGGAATATAACATGCTAAGCTTGGCACTGTAACAAAGACACTGATAGGAATGATGAGGATGGTGATTGATGAAAGCAGACCAGTCTGTTAAAGAGTAACTTTTCATTAATTGAATAAGATTGTGAGGTTTAAAAAAGTATTTCCTACTTTATCTTTTAGGGAAAAACAGGTGGTGGAACTTTTCCAATTAATAATAGAGATCACCCTTCTAGTTGTTAGATGGGATGCTGCCCAATTCATAAATCACTTAATAAAGCCAATTAGATCTTCAAAAATAATAATAGTTATGTGTTTATTTGTTTGTTACTTTGCCACATGTCAGGGAAAATTTTTTTAAATCCCTGAGTCCTGCAGGAAGGCTAAATTATATCGTACAAGTGCCCATAAAAGGGAAAGTTATGGGAGAGAAAGAGACTGGAAAATGCAAGGTGCCTGTGAAAGGAGGGTTGGTGTACTAATGCTGCCAGTGATTGCTGGGGTGAAGATAGGTCAGAATTCCCTAACCTTACTTTAAGTTAAGGTGACAAAAACAGAACCCCCAAACTTACATTGCTATATGATTGCCAATTTTTGTTAATGAAGTAGTATCTTTATCAACACCTAGTGAAAGATTTTGCAGCTTGATTTTAAGAACAGACTGTTAAGTCAGTCACTGATTAGATGTAAAGAAAAATCCACCAGTTTAGAGACGGGCATATTACGAAATATCTCCAAGAAAGTCACCATGGCCCTAAATAGTTATTTATTCCATTGTTTTTTTCTTTTGTAAGAGTTGTATAAATTGTTAAAAATAATGTATTCATTGCCACTTATTAGAAACATTTGGGTTATGCTTGATTATCTGTGGTGTGCTTTGTAATCTGTGTAAGTTCAATAGACTGACATATTTTTACCTAAATAAAGAGTAAATTATTAGACTCTAATGTTAACCTTTAGAGCTGTAGAAAGGAGCTACATTTAAGTAGCTCCTTTATTTTCCCCACTGAAACCCTATGTGTGACTTCTTAAACCATTATTTTCAAATTTTGTTTTTCTTTTAAAAAAATAGCCAATCTTTATTTACAGTTACAGTATGCTGCCCTTCCTGTTAGTCATGTAGGATTAAGAAAATAATCTGAAGTAGATTAATCATTCACCATAAGATGTAAATGAAAGGATGATAGCAGTAGTACCTTTTTCCTGAAATATTAATCATTTTCGACCAATGTATGCCACTTTTGAAAGAAAACTGAAGATGTGGCTTAAACCACAGGTTTTTATGTGCTTGAAATCATTTCCAAAAAAAAACAATAAGAAGAAAACTGGAATTCAGTCTAAGTAGTATGGAATGTAAGTTTGCTCTATTTAGGGATTGTGCCAGGGCCTGTCATGGTTTCAAAGTCTAATAAGACTGCCCTTGGAGTTTGAGGAGTTTCTAGTCAAATGGTGATAGAAAAGTTGCAGATGATAAGCTGCGTCTTGGTGGATGTTGCCATTAGGAGTCAAAGAAAGGAGAAAGAATGTTCAGATTTTTTATTTGTTTCTTTTTGTTTTATTTTGGAAGATGGGGAGGAAAGGCAGTTTAAGCTTCATGGAAGAAGTATCATTTGAGATGCCCCTGAAAGTGTTTCTATCATTACCATATTGATGTATTCAATAATAAAAAATCTGAGCCTGAATCTGGTCAACTTGCAGGACCTATAAAGATGGGGCATATTCTAAATGATGTGGTGCGCATACAACAGCCAAATCAGAATGTGGAAGATTCTCTAGGACAGTGACCCAGTTTCTTCAAGTAAATTGCAAGGTTTAGGGAGAAAAAGGAATGGGGGATCCTATAAATTAAAAGAGATTTAAGAGGTGTGTCAACTAAATGCAATGTGTGAACCTTGTTTGGATCTTCATTCAAACAATCCAACTGCAAAAGAAATTTGAGACAGTGGGGAAGTTTTTAAATTCTAAATGGATATTTGATATTAAGGAATTACTTATTATTTACAATGTGATAATAGTATTGCAGGGTTTTTTTTAGTTCTTGACTTTTGGAGAATATATTGATATAGATATATTTTTTAAGTGGGTAGGACTATAAGAAAAGATCAAGTCATCTTAAAGGAAATATTGGGAACTACAAGCGATATGGGTTGGGTTTGACAAATACAGTATAATTAAACTTTGTTCACATAATCATTTGAGTGTTTTATAAGTTGGAGTAATTATTTTGGCAAAATTCAGTGGCTTCTGAGCACAGAAATTTGATCAGACCTGTATTTTGGGGATATTTGTTGGATGAATTCGAATAGGTAGAAGCTGGAGGTAAGGCAATCGGTTAGGAAGCTTAGGTAATTATTGGCAGTCTGAACTAGGATGACTGTTGTGGACATTTAAACAAAAGAACAAAACCCAGTTTTGGGCCCTGTTCTTGTCTTTATCATCTCTCCTTTGGTAATCATCTGAAATCCAGAGACCTGAGACACAGAATATGAAAGAGAAATGAAAGATATAATTCCAGCATTTGACCCTGAATGACGGAAAGAATGGTGGTATTATTAAAAGAAATATTTATTTCTGGAATAAGAGGTATCCTGGTAGGAAAGTGATGGTTTTAGTTTGGCACATGTTGAACAGGAAAGGTGACCGTAGGCTCTGGTGTGCCTGGAGACCATTTATGCCTTTTGTCCCAGCATAATTATTAAAAGTGCTCCCTTTCACATTTAAAGGTGTCCTTGTTTCGTATTGTTACCCTAGGAACTAGAAATGCTTTTAGAAGTGCAAGACAGAAACTAGGACTAGAAAGTCATTGTCATTTATTTCTGAGACATTTATTGACCTAAGAGATACTGAGGTAAGACACATTCAGAGGCTACAGTCTTGTGGAAGAGTGTTGACAGTAGTTTAAATAGGTGTGATGGAAACTTTAGAGAGCACATCTAGCCGTGTTTTGGGGATTCTCTGCATAGAGGTGGACCATAGTAGCGGGGGGGAAATTATTGAGAAAGAAGAGCAATAGGGAGGACAGAGGAGCCACAAAAGGTCCAGTTTTCAAGAGGAACCTAGCTGGTCAAAAGCAATGGCAGAGGGGTGAGAATCAGCAGTAAGAGGCTGCTGCCTAGGACTGTCTCACATGGCTGCACGTACCCACAATGGAACAATGGTCTTTCTCCATCGTAAAGGTTGTTCTCATCGACTAAGCCTGCAACTACCAGACCTTCCAAAGGGAGGAGTGCTGGTGGTTGAATAAGGGTGCCCCCTCCCCCCCGGGTCCCCCGGCCAGCTGCCTCAGCCAGATCACTGCTGTCAGTTGATGAGTTAACGGATGTTGTGGCTACATCAGCCTTCAGCAAATATGCAAAATAGAATTTGGAAAAAGTACTCTGATTTGGCCCTTTACCAAGTGGTTCATAGCATCTCAGCCATGTTTAGAACAAAGAGCAGAGTTTAAGTTAACTCTCTAGTCACTCTTCTGAAGAAACAGTGACACCAGATTTAATTAGGATATCATGTAGGTATTGCGAGTACCAAGGCTGGTTCATTTAGTGGGTTCTTGCGTGGTGTGGATCTCTTTACAGGATTTAGCTTTAGTCTGAGAAAAGCTAGCCCTTGGCCCATACTGTATACCAGGTAGTTCAAAATATAAACCATTTGTGTTAAAGGGAAAAATAGATTCTGTTAATCTTTCCATGCCATCATAGCTTCTAAAAACATTTATTTCCATATGACTTGCACATCTAAATAGAGGGGATTTGGCTCAGTAAGGCTTTCAATTATCTTCATCTAAGCACTTTTAACCAATGCTCATCATAAAACTTTTTCCAAGATTGTGAAGTAGATTGATACAAAAAGTCCCTTTCTACCTGGCTGGTGTTGCTCAGTGGTTGAGCATTGACCCATGCACCAGGAGGTTGCAGGTTCAATTCCTGCTCAGGGCACAGGCCCAGCAGGGGGCGTGCAGGAGGCAGCCTATCTATGTTGATGTTTCTTTCTTATTGATGTTTCTCTCTCTCTCCCTTCCTCTCTCTCTAAAATTGATAAAAACATGTTAAAAAACAAAAAGTTCCTTTCTGTGACAAAAGTAAGGCACCATGAGAGTGGACCCAAACCACAATAAACTAATAATGCATTTTCCCATACAACCCTATAAAATGCAATGATCAGTCTTTGAGCCGTTGATCAACCTTAGCAGAAAAAGATTTGTTCAGTTGTCTTTGGCCAAAAAAAAAAAAAAAAATTGGCACTTGTTTTCTGAAAAGGGGATCTACACACTAACTACTTGATTAGTTTGAATAGTCATTTGTGTTTATGTCAAACTTAATTTGTAAAGATGTGGGGCCAATATTTCACTTCTATGATCAAACTCTATGTAGAATTTATATATTTACATGATTTGATGCATGGCCTCTTATTTGCTCTAATTTAAATGCTGTTCCTTTTCATTATGTGGTGCAGAGAAATAATTCACTTGATCCTTGTGTTATGAGTTCATCATTGCCTAAATTTGTCTCCTAAAACATAATTACTTAACATAAAATCTGTTCCATTATTTTTAATTTGAAAAAGAAATATTAGTTTTGTTTCACAACATCACTGATGAAGAAAATTGTTCTGCTGCAGACAAGAAATGTCTGCTTTAATAGACCTTCAAGATGGATTACATAATGATTCTTCATTTATAAAAGAATCCTTTTCCTCAAAATAATAGTCCTTTAGTTGTCACATAAATTTATTTATGATTATTATTTTTAAAGTGAACACATTTTAGATGGAAATCTTTGATTGCCTTGTATATAAATCAGATAGTTAAGTTCTTACTGTACGTCTAGCATTGTATTAGATAGAATATAGTGTGTTCCATATAGTATGGAGCAGAAGTGTGAAACATATGCATTTAACATGTATTAATACTAAAAAGAAACCAATAATATGAATCCTTTTATTTCTGGAGAAAAATAAGAGTTGTTTTTTAGGAAAGCATGCTGCTTAATAGCTGTGCTATAACTAAGAAGGTACTATGATTTATAGGAAAGACAGTTGAGCTAGAATGAGAATTTTAGTTTTGTCTCCACCACTTCCACTTCCCAAATGTGTAAGCCATTTCAGATTTCATTTTATTTCCTCAACTGTCAAGTGAAAGGAGTAGGCTACTTGATCTTAAAGATCTCTTCAAAAATCCGATGTATCTATGTGGATTCATGCTCCTTTAAAAATGAAAATAAATGCTATTAAACAATTTGGGAACTTGAAAGGGCTTCCTGGTTTACTTGAGTTTTACTCTCTAGCTCTAGAAGTCAAGTAAGAGACCACAGTGTGCTGGGAGTTAGATGCAATCATGGGGTTAGATGCAGAGGCTTGAGACTGGGCTTTAAGTGATGGGCAGGTTTGGAGGAGTAAAGGAAAATGGCATGAGGAAAGTAGTCATGAGCTGGAGTTACTAAGGAGACTATTAGGAATTGAGTATATTAGTAAGTAAAGGAAAATAAATAGTGACTGGATTATAGAGAACTTTAACAGTCAGATAAAGATATCTGGACTTGATACACAAGGAGTCAGTATAGGTTCTTAATCTAAATAAAAGAATTGTTCTAGTCTTACAATCTAGTATAAAACGCAGAAGGGCAAGATAGGTTAAGGACAAGAATTTAGGAAGAAATGATTGGTCTTGTTCTAAGATTGTATTATTAGGATTGATAATTTCAAGAGATGTTTTTAATTATGAAAACTTTCAAACATGAGAAAAGTTGAAGAAGATCAAAAACACCCATATATGCCCATTACCAAGATTCAACAGTTGTTAGTATTTTACCATATTTTCTTTACTTGTATGTGTATATATGTAGAAATTTTTCTTTTAACTTTTTATTTTGACATAATTTCGGACTTACAGAAAAGTTTCAAGAATAGAACAAAGAATGGTTTATACTCTTTATCCAGATTCTCCAAACATTAGTATTTCACCCTGTATGCTGTTAACATTTTACCAAATTCAGTTTATCCATCTTCCCCCTCCATCTCCCTTTCCCCTCCCTCTATGTCCCTGAACCATTGAGAGTACATTGCAGACATGATAGCCTTTACTTTTAAATACTTCATGTGAATTTTGTGTTTCTCTTACATAGCCATTGTACAATTCCCCAAATTAGGAAATTAACATTGATATATATTACTATTATCAAATCCACATAACTTACTCACATTTTGTCAGTTGCCTCAGTAATTACCTTTATGACAAAAGAAAATCCTGAGTCATGCGTCACATTATGTTTTCATGTCTCTTTAATCTCCTTTAACCTGGAGCAGTTCAAATCTTTCTTTGTATTTCATGACATTGACATATTGGAAGAGCAGTTCATTTGTAAAATTTCCCTTTGCTTGACTGTACCTTATATTTCCTCATGATTAGATTCAAGCTATCTATTTTTGGTGGGGTTATAACAATAATAATAATAGGTATCATATCAGGAGGTATCTGATATTGAATTGTTCTATCACTGATATGTAAATATCCTGTTGCTCCTGTTATCTGCTTAATTTTAGCATCTACTGATGATTCTTGCCTGAATCAACTGTTACTATATTAGTGTCAAATAGTGATTTCATAATTCTGCCATTCCACTTTCATTTATTGGCTGGCTTTCTGCTATAAGGAAGAGTTTTCTCTCCGCTCCTCCTCTCCTCCTCTTTTCTCCCCTCATGTAATCAATGAGTGTTAAAATATGTATATGTAATATTTCTTACTGCGATTGTATTGTGAAATTTTATTTTCAGCTCTTTTAAAAAATGTTTTTTTATTGATTTTTAGAGAGAGATGAAGGGAGAGGGAGAGAGAGAAAGAAACATCAATGAGAGAGCAAAACATCAATTAGCTGCCTCCTGCACACCCCCTACTGGGGATCTAGCCCTCAACCTGGGCTTGTGCCCTGACCAGGAATCGAACCTGAAACCTTTAAGTGCATGGGACGACACCCAACCAACTGAGCCACACCAGCCAGGGCCTCAGTTCTTTTTTGATGAATTAAAGTAGCTATGCCTGAGCTATTTTTAAACCAAAGTAATAGCCAAATAGAGCTAGAAGAATATGGCCTACTAGATTTATTTCAGGCAATATTCAGTAGCAGAAAGTTTTAATACAATGAAAGATGAGCAGAGTGACTAGAGAGGAAAGAAGTTAGGGGAAGGGACATATTTGAGATGTAATGGTAGATCTAATTTATTTCAGTAAAACCATTTAAGTTACATCATTTAATAATTCAACAAATATTTGTTATGTGTGTGGTGTTGGGAAAACGGTGATGACAAAGCACAGTGCAGCTTTCAGCCTAGTTTTTATTTTGTATTCCACAACTGGGGAAATCATGCTAAAATACTTTTTCTTGAAGAAAAGTTTGTTTCTGTTTTTTTCATTTCCAGTTAAGTTAAAAGTGAAATTGTTGTTACTTGTTATTAAAAAATTTCAAAATTGGTAATAGCATTTTGCCTATCTTACTGAATTTCAGGCCTTACATAAACTCTATATGAGTGAAATTTATCATTATAGTATGTATTAATATGTATTTTATAGTACCGTACCATGAGTTACTAATATATTTATTTAACTGTACTTGTATTCTTTCTCCAGGGTAAAATGACTAAAATGCTTAATATAATTTGCATCTAAGTTTTATTTAACCCAGTTGTACTATGTTGTTTAACTATGCATGTCTAAACATGAAAGAGATTGCTTGCTAATCTTTGGTTGTAGAGATTATATTGTGATACTAACTCTTGCTTTTAAAATAAACATATTTTTGTCAGATGACTTGCAGGGTGCACAGTCAGAAATTGAGGCAAAACAAGAAATTCAGCATCTTCGCAAGGAATTGATTGAAGCCCAGGAGCTAGCTAGAGCAAGTAAACAAAAATGCTTTGAACTTCAAGGTGAGATTAAGATTACTTTGATTCTTTAGGGGATGTGGAGGCAACATGATGTAACTGAATGGCCCAAACTTGAAGTCCAGAAGCATGGTCTCTTGTTCCAGATCCACAGCTTTATTACATAAGTGACCTTGGGGCATTCAGTTAACCTCTCTGAATTTATGTTTCACATCAGTAAAGTGGGGAGAATTCAGTTGCTCTACTTCCTTCACATTTCTGATGTGAATATGATGAAAGACCTCTACCAATGAAAGATCTTGAAGTTAATTACATATTGAGCACAACAAAAAGAAAAAACAATGTAAACAAATTTCTAATTCTTAGTTGCTGTAATGTTAGCTACTCAGGTAAGGTAAGGGAGATTTATATTCCCTGTGACTTTTTAGTGTACTCATCAGTAAATGGGAGGAGTCAGGCTAGGTCACGGTATAGAATCTACTAACGTCCCAACCATTTCTTTTCTAGTAGCTCATTTTCCTGTGGTGTCAGCCAGTGGAGTGTGTGCTGTTCCCTAGAGCTTACATTGTTGTATCATTCACATTAACTACCTGGTTGTAATCAGTTAGTGCATTGGGAAGTCTTAGAATGAAGGGAAAGTGAGTGGCCTCTGGAGTCCTCATGTTCTCTAAGGCTGCCTTCCTGACAGGAGAAAGATCTTAGGGAGAAGTTCCTGCCTCCTTCCTTTTCTGCTGCTTGAAGAACTTAGAGTTGATATTCATCTAACTTGAACCTGCAGGGGGCTTAGGCTAATCTAATTAATTATACTGGAAAAAATATTTAGCAAACAGCAGAAATTAGTAATTTCTATGTACTTGGTAGTACACCTGAGGATTTTATTTTTTAAATTTAAGCTCAAACTGCTGATTAACAACTATCAAGAATGTTTCTCATGAAGAATAGCACATACTATCTTGGTGATAAAAAATCTAGAAAACTCCACTACTCAATTGAATAGATTTATTACTTACTACTTACTGTGTTGTGCTCCTAAAATCTTTAACTATCTAACTGCTAATACTGATGATACTTACTACCTAACTTTTGTTTCCTTCAATAAGCTTTAAGAGAGAATTTTTAAGAAATTTCCAGCTGCCCAATGTGGAATACTTTTATTAACTCACAAAATTAGATATACTGTGTTTTACTTTCAGCTCTTTTGGAAGAAGAAAGAAAAGCCTATCGAAATCAAATTGAGGAATCTACTAAACAAATACAGGTTCTTCAAGGTATGGAACACTCCAAGGGCATTTGAGGTAGTTTTTAGTGATTCAGAGGGAATGGAAAATAAGAGTGTGGAGGGTTCCCAATTTTTGTGGCTTTCGTTCTTCCCTGGAATCTAAGACTATAACTGGGTGAGCTTTATTTATTTATTTTTAAGAAGCTACACAGGAAGATTCCCCTGTACTCCAACAATAGCCACTTGGAGTTGGAAGAGCAGGGGTGAAGGTACGAATGTGGTAAGATTGTCACTTTCTGAGTTACTGTAGCGAGTTACTACAGAGTCTTCAGATAGGAAATTAGTTTGAGCTGCTCTGTGCATCAGCACTTTTAATTTGTTGGTGGCATTTTGCTAATGTTCATAGCACACTTGGCATTGCAACAAAAAGTGTGTACCACATGAAATAGAATAATGGTCCCAGCACTGCCTTCAGTGGTAAAGGCTGCTCTTCACAACCCCTGTCTATTTGTCTATCGTGGGGTCATTACAGAAATGACCAGAAAGACCCCTACCTGTCAAGGGTTTTCATTGAACTGGAGCTCCTGTTACTGTGAGGCTGTAATTGTGAGATACCCCAGGAGAGATCTTTCTTTTCTATGCTATTGTAAGATTCCTAAAGCAAGATTAATTTGCCTTCATTGTCAAAGAGAGAACCAGTGTTATTTAAATTTTTAGCTTGAGAGATAGGGTGAGAAAAAATTAAATAAACCAAAAAATCTCACTTCAGAAGAAATGAGGAGTCATTGTATGAGGCCTGTGATATTTGTCCTAAAATATCCCAGAGAAAAACCAGTCTTTCGGTTTTCTTTTTTTCTTTTTGAGTGGGATATTTAAGTTATTAAATTTTTAAAATTTTATTATTTTCAAATTAGAATTTCTGGTTAGGTTATATTCTTTCTAAGTTGAAAACTTTTTAAACCCTTATTATAGCTTAATGCTACTATTCATTAGTTTATATAAATCTTATTTGGATCTATATTGCCATCTTGTATTTTACATGGGCAGTTTTCCCTAAAAATTCTTAGTGCTGCCGTTTGTCTTAAAGATGCCTTACTTAGGCATCAATGAGTGCCCCCTAGTGCCAGCATGTATATTTCACAAATCCATTGGCCATTGTGTCTTTTCAGATTTTGAACCTGTTACCTCAGTATTTCCTATAAACTTAAAAGGCCTAATATTTTCTTTAATGTTTATTTATGGAGCTCCCTCCTCCTCTCCCCACCTTAAATCCTCTTAATTATTTTAATTATTCTTTTCTTGTACCTAAGGAATTTTTTCTCGTGTTATAGTAACCAAAACTAGTATTCTGGTCCTGAACAAAGTATTATTTTATACAGATTATTTCCAGTTCCATCATGAGGGCATAAGACCAGATCTTTTAAAAATGTGCCTCTTTGAATGGGGACATCTGCAATAGTGTCAGCAATAAAAATAAAGTTTAAAAAACTACCTCTTTGGTTAGGCAGTGTTCATTAATTTAAATTCTTTTTTTTTTTTTATTTTAATCCTCACTAGAGGATATTTTTCCCATTGCTCTTCATAGTGGAAGGGGTGGGGAGAGAAAGAGAGAGAAGGAGGGAGAGAGAGAGAGAGAGAGAAAGGAACATTGATGCGAGAGACAAATTGACTGGCTGCCTCCTGGTTGAGCCCCAATCAGGGCCGAGGATCGAGCCTGCAACCGAGTTACTGAATCGAACCCAGGACCCTTCAGTCCGCAGGCCGATGCTCTAACCACTGAGCAAAACCAGTTAGGGCAATTTTATTAATTCTTGATTGTTTACTATGCTAGTATTGGGGATAGAACATGCATGAGGTGTACAGTCTAGTGGAAAAGTTATACAACAAGCAAATATATAATGCAATATCCAATAAGGGCAGGGTAAATAGCTAGAGAATGACAGAAATTTTTTTTAGGTAAGTCATCAGAGAAGCCTTCTTTAAAGAATTGATATTTGAACAGAAAAATTGAATCAAGAGCATCAAAGGTTTTTCTAATGCTTACCATTTGACCATGCAATTCCCTGTCCAGGAATTCAACCTAAGAAAAAAATTGGGATTGTGTTATAAGCCGTATTGTTTATAGTAATTAAAAACTAAACAGTCGTCAATAAAATACAGTGAAACTATTTTGTTATTTTTAAGAGATGTTCATCACTAGCGGGATAGAGAGCACTACACATATTATGCTTTTCACACGTGTGTAAATGCACAGAAAATATCTAGAAGAATAAGTACCAAATGTTAGAAGCAGTTTTCTCTGTGTGGGGAAAATAAAGATTAGTTTGCTTTTTTTATCTTTGTGTTTCTGTGTTTTGACATTTTCTGTATTAAACACAGATTGCTTGTACAGTTTAATCAAAAGCAACAAGGAGCTGTGACAGCCTGGGCTGTGTAGTGACTACAGCCCCATATGGGCTGTTCTTTTATTCCTGATTGCTATGGACTAAGAAAATGATAGCTAAATATACTTTTTGTAGCCCAACTGCAGAGGTTACACATCAATATTGAGAATCTCCGGGAAGAGAAGGACAGTGAAATCACAAGCACTCGAGATGAACTGCTTAGTGCCCGAGATGAAATTTTGCTGCTTCATCAAGCAGCAGAAAAGGCTGCCTCTGAGCGGGACACTGACATTGCTTCTTTACAAGAAGAGCTTAAGAAGGTGCGAGGTGAACTTGAGCGGTGGCGGAAAGCAGCGTCAGAATATGAGAAAGAAATCACAAGCCTGCAAAACAGCTTTCAGCTTCGGTGTCAACAGTGTGAGGACCAGCAGAGAGAGGAAGCAACAAGGCTACAAGGTGGATAAGTGTGTTTTACGTAAAGCTCTTAACTCTTGACGATGATAACCTTATAACTTGTAAAAACTAACCATTCCGGCTAGTTTTCTCTTTGGTAGCAATGAATTGTACAAAGTAGTGTCTTATATTAGGGCTATAAACATTCTACAGGTCTGCAAATTCTGGAATTAACTAATTTTTTTTTATAATTTTATATTTTATTTAAATACTATTAACAATGATTTGTCTTATAAAATGAAGTGGGGGTGAAAACTACAAAAGTTTAAGGTGATGGGACTTCCCGTGAGATATAGATGCAGACTAACAGGAATCTGAGAATAGCCACATAAAATCTACATGTTTTTAAGAGGGGCAAAAAAGTATGTTGTTCTTTGAAATTCTTCACCTTTTTTTTTTCTCAGTTATGGAAGTTATGTTCCTATATTAATGAATATGTTTTGGGATTCTTTTAGGTGAACTAGAGAAATTGAGAAAGGAATGGAATGTATTGGAAACTGAATGCCGTTCTCTAAAAAAGGAAAATGTTTTGCTATCATCAGAACTGCAGCGGCAAGAAAAAGAATTGCACAAGTATGCAAGAACTATTTTTTAGCTTCAAATATTTCTTTACCTTAAATTTAAATTTAATTTAATTTTGATACTTAAATGTATTTTTGGAGCAAGTGTTCAGCCAGTCTCATTTTGGCTATTTGGCAGGTTAACTATGCTAAATGACTACTTCAGCATTTTTTTCTACCACCACATGAGGATATACAGTCTTTCCTTTGGGCGTACTCATGGAATACAAATTCATTAAATGCTCCCTCCCCCCAAAAATATTCCTAAACAAACAGCAAAGATCTATAATTAGTGACTGAACTTGCCCTACAAACTAAATGATAATATCAAATAAGTTTGCTTTCCTTTTACACCAGTGACCCTTCTATTAATAAAGGTGATCAGGAGATGACTATAATAAAGAATTCAGCCCTGCTGGGTGTGGCTCAGCGGTAGAGCGTTGACCTAGGATCCAGGCATTCCGGGTTCAATTCCCCATCAGGGCACATGCCCAGGTTGTGGGCTCGATCCCCAGTCGGGGGCGTGCAGGAGGCAGCCAATCAGTGACTCTCTCATCATTGATGTTTCTATCTCTCTCTCTCTCTCTCCCCCTTCCTCTCTCTGAAATCAATAAAGATATAGTTAAAAAAAGAAAAAAAGAATTCATACTCTTGAAAGATACAAATCAGCTTCTGAATTTCAAACAGGGTTATATAAAGAGTAATAATATATAAGATCAAGAATTCGCTAATCAGTTAAATCTTTCTAATATCCAGTACCTTACATGCAAACCAATCAATGTAATAGATTTATTTCAACAAATTTAGTGGAGTCCTGTTTTCCCACAAACATTTGTTACAGTTCAAAATTTATTTTTTCCTTAAAAATTTGATCTGTTTTGTATTTTTATTTAAATAATGTTTGTATTCTTACTCAGAATATGAAAGTAGTACCTGTTTATTATTGAAGCCACTCTTAATTAATCCATTTCCTTCTCCCCAGTGTACCAAAAATGGGAGTCATTACTCTCTTGCTAGCCTTGCGGTTACAATCCTCAAGAGCATTGAAGTTAGCAAAAACTCCGTGATCAAAGTCAGTTCCCATAGAAAACAAGCTTTAGGGAAAAACAATAAAGGGCCAGATAGGCTGTGGCCAGGTAGCTCAGTTGGTTAGAGCATCATCCTGATATGCCAAGGTTGTGGGTTTGATCCCTGGTCAGGGTACATACAAGAATCAACCAATGAATGCATAAATAAGTGGAACAACAGATCGATGTTTCTCTCTTTCTCTCCCCTTATCTCTCTCAAATCAATAAATAAAAATTAAAAAAACAAAACAAAAGGCCAAATATATCAAAATATAGTAAACCTTATTATCTGCTTATGAAAACAAAAACAGCGCTGGCCAATGGGCTCAGTGGTTAGCGCATCTCTAAATTTATTTGGTAAGCCTCCTCAGCATACTTGTATTTAGAAGCTAGTCTTTCTTCACAGTTTCTTTTCTGCCATTTAGTTCCTAGCTATACTGGCTTGACATCAGACCCGCCCCCTAAGAATCTGCCTAGCATACAATCAAATTGTGATTTATATTCCATAGTATCTCAGTTACAGTATTGAATCTGAGTCTGAGTCTTACGATTCATCCTGAAAGAATAAAACTATCATTTTGAAAACCTTACCCTCCTTTAGCTATTTTAGTTGTATATGAGAGCCAAATTCTTTTTTTTAAAAATTAATTTAAGAGAGAGGGGGGAAGGGAGGGGTAAGGCAGGGAGAGAGAGAGAGGAGAGAGAGAAAAACCTATTTGTTCTTCCACTTACTTATGCATTCACTGTTTGATTCTTATATGTGCCCTGACTGGAGATTGAACCTTGGTATATTGGGACGACGCTCTAACCAACTAAGTACTGGCCCAGGGCCTGGGAGCCAAATTCTTTAACACAACTACACTATACAGGTTATTTGTTCTTTGTTGTCTGTGATGTAGAAGGAAATTAATAAAGAATTTCTGTTTATGCCTATCAAGCTCTTTTCCTAGTGTGTAAATTGGGGTTGTTGGGGTTTTTCCCCATCAAGTTATAAAAGTAATCATAGAATTTAAGCCAGAAAGCCTCAGAAATTGAGTTCAGTCTTCTTGTTTGACAGTGGAGGGCACTGAGACTCTCCTTGTGTGATTTGTGTCTGTATAACATGGTGCCTGACAGATCTAAGAGCTCAGGAATGCTTACTCAGAGAATATTATACCAGTTAAATGACTTGCTTAACATCCCACAGCTAAATAGCAACAGAGCTGAGGTCTAGAACCCAGCCTCCTGGTTCTTGTCCTGTGCTTTTTCCCCATTTTGGTGTGTCTTCTCATTTGAGGTTTATCACTACTTGAGTTGGCAGTGCCTTCTAAACTGTGAGTTTCTGTCCCCCATCCTATTTGTCAAGTACTTATAATAGTTGAAGTACATGCTGTTCTTTCCTTTAGAAGACCTACACTGAATCTTTTTATGATAGTTGATATAATGTGATATAACAAAATATAGTCACCTCCTGCTTCTATTTTTAAAATTTCAACCTTTGTGTATATTTGATTACCTGAAAATAGGACACAGCTTTAAACTTACTTGTATTTTTTAGTGTTTTAATGCTTTTTACTTATTGAAAATATCTTACTCTGTTTTATACTTTACTTTTCTCCTCTGAAATCCACTCCATCCCTCCTGGTGAAATGTATAAGGAATTGGGCTTCCTGCTGTGTCTAGTTTCTACATGAATAACTGTCAATATTTATTTTACAGTTCTCAGAAGCAGAGTTTAGAGCTTACCAGTGATCTCAGCATTCTTCAGATGACTAGGAAAGAGCTTGAGAATCAAATGGGATCCCTGAAAGAACAGCATCTTCGGGATTCAGCTGATTTAAAAACTCTTCTCAGTAAGGCTGAAAACCAAGCAAAGGATGTACAGAAAGAGGTAAAGCGAAAAGACGTTATAAGCCCAATTATGGTTGGACTTAAAGCCAAAAGCAAACCAGATATTCATGCTAGTTAAAAATAAATTTATATTACCCATCATAAAGCTGATACTTGGAACACCTCTGCTTGGTGATTTCTAGCTATGTATCATGGTGCATATATAGAGAATTTATCTGTAGGGTTTGGCCTCAAAAATATAAATATACAAAATTAATTAAAATGTTTCTGTACCACTTAGTTGACCTATATGAATGCCCTGTGTACCAGATCACTTAGTTCATTATTTCTCTCTCAAAGACGGTATCTTACTTAACTTAGAATGCTTTGCCAAGGAAAGTGGGGCCACACCATAATGCTCTTTAAGCCCCTCAGGTGAAACTGGCCTGAAAAGATACTTAAAATTCACCTTATAGCCAGCCAGCCTAACATGTGTTCTGTGACCTTTCACTTTCTTCTCACCACCCCGTCCCATTTTCCCCTTCTTCACAAATGTGCATGCTCCCTTTTCATGTCATTGTGCTTAAAACCTTGACTTGGTGGCTTTTTAAAAAAAAAAAAAAAATCATGTTAAAAATGGTGACGGTTGACTTTGCAGCAGAGACCCCACCCAGCCTCTTTCTGAGCAAAGCCTTGAAGCTGGTGGCGGGGCGGTAAGAGCTGTGTTCAGTCCTCCTGGCCTGTACTACTGCCCGCATTGACTCCTGACCAGCTCTGGGGATGGAGAAGGCTGGTGCATCGTGATCCACTTACTGGTCAGGGTCCACCTAGTTGTAGACTCTCTTAAACAAAGGATGCGTTATAAATAGAAGGACATTGAAGACAATTCTTTGTCTTCAATAACGAATTTTCCCAAAATTGTTTTTAGAAGATCTGTTTAATCAATGCAGTTTTTCTTTGCACTTTCTTGTCCTTGTGATATCCTGAACTTGGAAATGATTATTGTTCTGTCTTCATGTTTGTTCCTAAAGAAAAACAAAACAAAACTGTAACAGTGTATGTGGCCATATTGATTTTATAATATGTTCATTTTTATCCTCTTGCTCAGGATATGTGTTTGGAGAGAAATCTCATTTTATTTAGTTGGAACACAAATTTTGTGCCAAAGTAAATATCCTAGTATTTAATACTGTAAGCACTTTGTGTTCTTCCAGTCCATATGCCCTAATTCTTTCAAAAACTGGGAGGAATGCTGTGGTTGGAAGATGATTCTGTTGTATGTTACTATGAATGCATTGCCATTTTGTTTCATTATTTGTTTGACTGCTTTTGGTCACTGAACCATCAGTGCTTTAAGTGTTTCCACAAATGGCAGTGGCATGTCACAGCATCTAAATTGTTGATAGCCTTTGGATTGCATTAAATGCAGCATATTTAAAAATATGTCTGATCTTGTCAATATGTTTCTAATCTATTTTCTTGTTCAGTGTTTTCCATTGTGAAATGATGTGTAGTCATCACACTTCTTTGTAATGTAAAATTGTTTCTCTTTCTGTTTGTCCTGATGTCAACTATTGGATACTAGTCTGTAATTAAGATGTTCTTTAATGAGGTTCTTATATCTGTGTGATCCACTGCAAATGAAGTACTACTGTCTTTTATTAATGCACATATATTCTTCCCTTTCAATATTCCCCCTTTGTTCTTCTTTCCGTCATAGAATCATGCATAGTATCATCATTGTGTATCTTCAGTACTGTAAAAGGGTAAAATATTATCAGCTAATAAGCAAGGTTATTTAAGAAGAAAACCTAAGTTGTTGGTAATATTGTGTAGTATTTCCCTTTTAATCAGAACTGAGCTCATTTCCCATCTCTGAGTTAGAAAGCAAGATAGAGCAAAAATGATACCAAGTGAGATGTGAAACTAAGACTGCAGACTCCAACAATTAAATTTATATATATGGCAGCTTTTATTTGAACATTTAACAAAGAAAAAAATACATGAGAACAGTACATTTTAATCCTCAGTATTAAGAGAAAAATAATGGTATATCATCTTTATATTTGACTTAAGAAAGCATCTACATATTTTAATTTAGAGGGAATATCTATGAATTTATAATACATTGAACTCACAAGTCACCCTGCAAACACTAACTCAGAAAACTTGTTTGGCTTCGCCCTCTTGTCCTGAAGCCAGAGTTCTTCCCACCCCTTTCACATGCTGAAGGTAAGGTCTTCCTGAGGGCTGTCCTCCTGTCATTCTGCTCCACCCCTCCTGGAACAGAGAAATGGCTGAGTGCTTTGGTATGAAGGGCAGGCTGGGTGTGAAAATGGTGGAAACGGAAAGTTAGGGAAAATTTAGGTCAGCAAAGCACTTTTCCCTTGGGCTTATTACTCACTGTTAAGAATCAGATCTCTGAGAATTGATTATGTTCTAAGACTAGTCTAGGTACACTGAATTTGCCTTGGCAGCCTGCCCATAACCTCTGCCTTCTGGAAGGACGTCCACAGACCCCACAAAAAAAGCTGTCATAAAGTCCATGAATCTTACTCCTTAGTTCGTTCTCTGGCACACTATCCGGACTTGTTCTGGGAACATTGGTAGGTAACAAGGAGCTGCTTTAACATTTGCCTTTTCTCTGTGCCCATATCTTTGTCCCCATTTTCTGGTAACTTTTCTGCTGACCCTAATCCCCCTCCCTACCCCCACCTCTTCTGACTAACATTTTCATACATTTCACCCTTCTTAGTGTTTACCTTTGGAGTACATAATGATAAGCTCATAATTAATCGCTCCAAGGTATTGCATTATTCAGAAGCACAGTATTAAGGTGTATCCTTTGTTGAGGAATTTCTAGGATATAGGCAGAAAGGATTGGAAACTTTGCAGCCCCATGGGCTATGTTTAGGGGAGAGGAGAAACCTTTCCGGTAAAGCAGGCCCATGGCATATTCATTGTATGCTCAGCCCTTGTCTTTCTTCCTTCTAAAACCTTCAGAGATGGCAGAGTGGGGCAGTGGAGGCCCAGACAAAGGCACAGCCAACAGCAAAACAGTCTTTGCTCTTTGACTGGGAGCCCAGCTTGCATGTAAGATGCAGCATCTAGAAGTGGAACCAGTCTAGAATTCCTGCCTCCAGGGGCATTTAAAGTAGGGGCAAACCATACTGCATTTCTCATTGACCTCACCTGTGCTCGAGAGCTGGCTAGTGCATCTGAAAATCAAATTATATACAGTGAACTGTTTTTCAGAGCGGGAAGTAGCTTGTTTCACTATAGAAAAATGTCTATCAGAAACACATTTTAAAAAATTGCTTTTAATTGATACTTATAAGTTTAAGTTGAGAGAGAGAAATGTCCCCAGTAATAGTGGTTGGTACCTTAGACACATTTCTTTGCTTCATTTGCCTAGAAATTCACTTATCCAGGACATTTTAATAACCTGTGATTCTGGATAAAGGGAAGACTAATGGCAATTAATACTTTCTACTTTAAGACTAAAGTGGCTTCCCCTTTAACCTATTGCTTACCAGGATATAAACTCATACTTTCTAACCTTGCCATTTAATTAAGCTAATGGAGTTTTTTTCACTTGTTTTCTTTTGCTCAGTTTGGAATTTTACTTTTCTCCTCTAATTCACTTAGTAGAAAAAGTCGCCCTTTATATTAGAAACAGATGACACAATGGTGACTTCTCTTAATTTTTTTTTAACTTCAGAGCCAGAAAATTCTTCCATAGAATCAAGTTAACATTAAAGACTTCTTATTATTAGTGTAAATAATTCTTATCCTTCTTAAAACAAAAAAGCTTGGCTTTGGTGTTGCAGGTGACTACCTAGGATCTGGTGTATAAGCCTGACTAGAACCATAACTTCATGCCCATTTAAGTTGAGTCTGCACACTCTTTTTTCTTTGCCTTTAGTATGAAAAGACACAGACTGTACTCTCAGAACTGAAGTTGAAGTTTGAAATGACTGAGCAGGAAAAACAATCAATCACAGATGAGCTCAAACAATGTAAAGACAACCTGAAGCTGCTCCGAGAGAAAGGAAATAATGTAAGTCTTTACAAACTTGGTTTAGCTTTGATTGAGAGGCAGGTGAGAACCCTGAAATTGATTCTTCAGAGGATTTTATTTCTGAATTAAGAATTTCCCCTTTAACCTGTACCCCTAGAAGAGCCTGAGGACTACCTGGAGGAAGAGCCTTGTTTGCAAGAAAAGAATTACCTAAGAACTGTCAGCTTTTCCCAGATGAATCTGAAGTTCTGTCTCATTTTCTAGCTCTTGTTTTTCCCCTACTGGGAAATGAAGCATTGTACCACCAGAGACCCACCTAAGAAAGAGTAGTTCAGGTTGACTCCTTGGCATTTGGCTATGTCCAAAAATGGAAACTTTATTATGATTTTTATTTTATACTAATAATTTTCTCACTAAGGCACATTCCTAAAAAATTTAGTGTTTTTTTGGCTTCTCATACATGTTAGGAAATATTGATGAGTTTCTGTAGGGCTGTGTGTGTGTGTGTGTGTGTGTGTGTGCGCGCGCACACATGTGCCCGCACACATGTGAAGTTGGAACATTTTGGTATAAACCAAGTTTAATAATATTAGTTTTCATTTGCTAGAAAGGCAGATGGTCTTTAAAAAGATGTTATACTAAATAAATGTTGTGCTCCATGTTTTGGTGATCATGCCTTTGTGGGACCTAACTGATGGATGATGTTCAGTGTGGTTGGTTGTGCTGTGACTTATTTCAAACCTTTGTCATGGCTTGGACACTGCAGTGGGCGTGAGTCACACTCTTCCTACAGAGGAAGGCACTCTGCTTAACTCCAAGCACAAGTACAAAAGAGGGATGTTGCATGGCCATCACAGAATGCTCGTGAGTTGTGTCCAACTGTCCTTTGCCGAAGAAAGTCTTAGTTTTTTAGAAAATAAAGGCATGTTGCTTAGTTAGAAGCCTTTTAGAAGCTGATGAATTGGGTCTGGAAGCTTTACGCTAAGCAAAAATGGATTGCATTTATTTTGAAAATGTAGGTTACAGAATTCTACTAAAATCAGAACATAATGGTTTGATTCCAAGTTTGGTTACTCCTGTCTTTTATGTTAATTCATATCCCTCTGAAAATGGAATTTCAGTCTACTTCTACTAAATTAACCTATGAAGACATCTAGCATAATCAGAATGGATTCCCTGTACCATTTAGAACCTTTTCAGAAGTAACCTTGCTATTATTTGTAGTTGTACAAATAATTTACCTTAAGGGTGAATTTCCTTTTTTATGCTATTGGACTTGTGGTACTAAAATATTACTCTGTAATAACACTCATTGTTCTAATTTCCTCCTAATTTTAAAAATTGATTATATTCGGTAATATAACTGAAAGCCCTGAGACTTAGCTGCCTGTCTTCATATACCAAACGATTATCATACAGTGTGTCAGATCTCTTACTTGGTTTGGAAAGCATGCAGCATAGGGCATTTATTTTTAAGCTTTAAGGCAACAGCAAAAGAGTTTTGGTTTTTTAAAAAAGGTTTCGATGGAGAGATAAAATAAACTGTAGCCATTTCCAGTATACTCATTGTCAAATAATAAATTCCAAGCATGGAACAAAAATAATGGACTGTCAAGCAGAGCATCAGTTGAGGTATTTTCATTGCTGTCTTAATGCACTGCATTTCATTAGGATGTTAGGGACACCGCATTGCCCATTGCCTCCAGCTGTTCCTGTTAGACTGGTAGTTTGTCAACTTACATACCACAGTCCATCATTCTGGATTGTATTAGATGTCTTTAAAATATTTGAATCAATGCAAAACCTTAGTGCTATTACTTCTGTTACCTCAGTCTTTCTACCCTTCCTCCCACCCCACTGGGGTCTAAATCATCTTATCTGATTTTTTATAGCATAAAATGATTTTAATATCCCTTCCCTTCTTTAGCCTTCCATATTACAACCCGTCCCAGCCGTATTCATCGGCCTATTCCTGGCTTTCCTGTTTTGGTGTTTCGGTCCATTGTGGTAGAGAAAGGTACAGCACTGCTGTTGAGTCCTTGTCTGTCTGTCCCCGTCACCTGTGTGTACCACATTTGTAACATAGTGCATGGCAAGACCACTCAGGTGTTTCGTTACCTGAAGCAAACCCTTCATTTAGTATGCCATGTATCGTGTCACATGAGTGAGCTGAGCAGTCAACTAATCATGTAACATTCTGTCTTGTTTCCTCTGTAATAATGCTAACTATGAATTAACTCCCACCTAACCAGTTGTTATATTCTGCCTTTAACTGAGTCTTTGTCTCTAGCAAACTGGAGTAAACTGTGAATCTCTGCAATATTAGTACCCCTTCCCAGTTACATTTTTAACCAGATTTTAATGAGAAATGAAGAGTTTGCCTCTTTGAAGTTTTCAGCCAGCTTTCCTTCCCCTCCTCCCTTCCCTCTTCTTTTCCATGGTGTAGAGTTTGCTTGTGTCAGCCTTGCCTATATTTACACTGTGGCTATGAATATGCAAGAGGAGGAGATTAGCATAATGGACATTGGCTCACAGTCTCAACCCCAGTGTGCATTTACATATGAGACCAAACCTATCCCATGTCTTTTTGAGCCCTGACCTGCAACATTAGAATATTTCCTTAAAAACCAACTTTCTTAATAAGAACACTAGTGAAAATAAAGCTGTCAACCAAAAGCAAGTTGGTATTATAAAGCCCTCTGAAAGTTAACAGGGAACAGCCCATCCTTGCTTGCCTCCATCAGGCATGCATGTTAGTAGATTATTTCAGATGATCACATGACCTTATTACACTGGACATGGTCTTTACAGAAAGTGTCAGACAGGCAGAGTCCCTAAATAGCACCTCCCCACCTTGAACCCAATCTGATTTTGTCTTACGTGGTTTCAAATTAGAGCATCAAAACTTAGACCATTTTCTTTCTATCACCTTACCCACCAGCCTTTTGTATAAAACTACCCTACCATGTGAGTCTGGTTTTTATCAAGAAATAAACACTTTAGGCAGAAACATACTCCAGGCATCTGTATACTTCAGTGAGTTGTAATATATGTGTACTGGAGTAAATAAAGCAGGCTAAGCCCAGAGGTTGTCTTAGAAGTCCCTGTTAGGTCTCAGCTGCAATGTACTGGCTTTTACACAGCGGTCCTCTAAAAGAGTTCCCACCATTATGGCTCTCCTCACACCTGCTCTCCCACCCCTTTATTTCTTTTCTTTTTAAAATGTTTCGTTATGCAGAGATAAGGTTTTTCTAATGTTCTAAGTATTTAGGACTCTCTGGAACCCAAAGGGTTAATAGGTGTGAAAAGAGAGGGGAGAATGTGATATTGACTCTTGGTTTCTTTCCACACAGAAACCCTGGCCCTGGATGCCCATGTTGGCCGCCCTGGTTGCAGTCACAGCCATCGTGCTGTACGTGCCAGGTCTGGCCAGAGCTTCTCCATGAGAGCGTTTCTTGAGTCCGTACACCGTCCTCCCTCTAGAAGCTGGCATCACACTCATGCTGGGGACAAACAGAACCATTTTCTTCCTTTTTACCTCTTAAAACAGGAGAAGTGCAAGAATACAACTGTAGGGTCATTGCTTTAAATTATATAAAATGTATCTGTCTATAAAGAGAATATAAAATTGTGACTTTATTGTAAGCAGTAACTTGCTTGCAATTTTTCATGTAATTTTTAAATTAGTATGTTGGGATTCTGAATATTATGGTGGCCTAAAGTAGGCTTCTTGGTACACCAAATTATTTATAACATTAAATTTATGGGTATTATACTCTGAATTCTAATGGCCAGATAATTCGTTTTTCTGATTCGTTAACTACCCAAACCAAACAACTGATACATACATGGGAAGAGAGGCCCTGTGTGCTCAGTGCCTATCAGTTTGAAATATATACACATATATATATATTTTTTACATATTTACGCCATTTTTACTTGTTATAAAACCACTGAGCTATTGGGAACAAGACTTAGAGACAACTCTTTGCGTGGGTTTTTTTTTTTTTTTTTTTTTTTTTTNTTGCTTTAAATTATATAAAATGTATCTGTCTATAAAGAGAATATAAAATTGTGACTTTATTGTAAGCAGTAACTTGCTTGCAATTTTTCATGTAATTTTTAAATTAGTATGTTGGGATTCTGAATATTATGGTGGCCTAAAGTAGGCTTCTTGGTACACCAAATTATTTATAACATTAAATTTATGGGTATTATACTCTGAATTCTAATGGCCAGATAATTCGTTTTTCTGATTCGTTAACTACCCAAACCAAACAACTGATACATACATGGGAAGAGAGGCCCTGTGTGCTCAGTGCCTATCAGTTTGAAATATATACACATATATATATATTTTTTACATATTTACGCCATTTTTACTTGTTATAAAACCACTGAGCTATTGGGAACAAGACTTAGAGACAACTCTTTGCGTGGGTTTTTTTTTTTTTTTTTTTTTTTAAGGAGAAATAATACACTTGGAAAGTATTCTGTTCTAGTGATAATTTGGGCAGTATGTGCACACTTGTTCAGCCTTAAGGTGACTCGACGATGTGGAGGACATCAACTTTGAAAAACTTTCCATGAGAGTGTGTATTTTCTTGAGCAAGCTGAAGTATTTCTGGGAGCAAAAACATAGTAATTATATAATTTCAGTGCAGTAAAACCAAACTGTTAAGTCAGTTGGAATGTAATTTATTAAACCTCATGTATTTAAAGAGATATTTTCTTTAAAAGCCAAGTTACTTTTTCATATACAGCATTTTAGGAAGCATGATTTTTTTTTTTTTCTTTCATCTCTTCCTCCAAAGCATGTTTAATTGAAGAAAGAATTAATATCTCTTTAGATAAGCTTTTACTGACTTAATTTGATTATGATATTTCAAAGCTAATTCATGTTCGAAGTAAGCTGTTGTTACCTACCAACAGATCTCCTGGTTGGGGATGCAAATGGTTATTTTCCTTTAATTGTTAATTGGTATGTTCTGTTAATGAGAAGCACTATTCCCAAGACTTATAGTGTTCCAGGCACAGTGAAGCACCTAAACACTGCTTGATATTATAAATTTAAAACACAGAGGTGGTTTTGTGCAGCACCACAGCACATCAATTAAGTTTATTTAGATCATAGAATATCCTAAAGTACCGCAGAGTTAAATTTTTCAGCCAATGAAGACTAGGAGGGGAGATGTCAGTGAACTGGCTTGAATGTTCTAAGGCAATCCACAGGTCTAGCCAAATACTGAAATAGAAGTTTAGGGTATCATTTGCCTTGTGATGTTTGGCAATCATTGTTTATACTTTAAAGGTTATATTTTAAGCTATTCGAGATTTGCTGTTGGGGAGGATCACTAGATTTATGGAGGAATTAGTCACAGATGACTTGTAGGAAATGCTGTCATATATAGTTCATTTCATCATCTTTTGTTGCAGGAAGCCACTCCACCACAGAATGCTAATATGCCAGTGGTACCCAGTACCTCTTGTATATAGGTTATTGCAAATATTGTTCTGAAATGCTTAACTTCAGAATTACATTTTTTAAAGTAAATAATTGTTTTAAATCTATTTTGTAAAGATATAAAGTACAATAGAATTTCTGGAGTACAGATTAAACTATTTGCACTAACACACGTGATGTGCATGATTTAATAAAATAACTTTACTCTCCCTATGCATTTTTGAGTTGGATATCATTGAAATTCTTAGTGATGACTCTACTATTGGATTGTTAATAAGTCTTTTCTTAAAATGACTCTTTGTGTAACACATATATGTTTGGTGTTCTTCAGGGTTTAAAAGAAAACACTGAGCTGTTTCCTCCAGGTTTTATTAGCCTTTTATTTAACTTAGTGCTCTAATTTTTTTTCTCTTTTACTATGGTTATTGTTAAATCATGACTCACTTGCCAGACAAGTCTCTCTGAATGTAAAGTCTAGTATCAATATTTACTTTATTTAAATTGAATAAATGGGGTTTTGTAGTTGCTGCCAGTTTTTCTTAAGAATATAAATGAGCCTATTCATAGGCAATACCTCCAGCTTTGTTCAGTTCACTTCCAGGTTAAATAAAGAGTAGGATTATTCACTGGTAGTGATAGAGCCATTAAGAAATTTTAATCATAGCAGTTAAGAATTGAACAGCCCTATAATGATACATTTAAGAATTATACAAAGGTGCTACATGGCTGGGTCAGAAAATGAAAAGAACGTGGCGTTTGAAGCTACACAGAACCAAATTGGCATCCTGACTCTGCCTTTTAATAGCTGTGTGGCCTTGGGCAAATCATTCCTCTTCTCTGAGTCTCCATTTCCTCCTTCATTAAATGGAGAGAATAGTATCAATATTTTTAGTGGTGGTATGAAAATTAAAAAGATAATGTATGTGAGCTGTCATTGGAGTGCCAAATGAGTGTTTATGGTCATGTGAGAAAAATACTGCAGATGTTTAAGGTAGGTGAACCATTACAGCTGTTTAAAAGGAATTGATTGGCTCAACTGTTAAGACTTTCTATGTGTGTGGAAAAGCTATAATTGCAAAGTCATGAATCCGAAGAAAGCATCTTCACTTAGCTCTATCCCCTTCTTAGCTGTTTCTTTTGAAGTAATATGCTTAGTTCGCTAATGAGCCAGTTGCCTACAACAGGAATGCATGTTGGAACTGCCTTCGGAGCTACTTTGAGTGGCATGTGAAAGCAAGTCACAGTGCTGAATAGTCAGACGCTTCCAACCAAAAATAGTATTGCCTCGCTTGATCTCTCACCTTAATCACAAACTTGACCCCCAGGAACTTTTGGCTGCTTCCAGTGACTATATCTACTATCAAAAAGATGGAAATCTGCTGCTAATGAGAAAAAAACCTACATACAAAACAACTGTGTTAAAAATGTACAGCCTTGCTCCAAAAAATTCACTTTTGGTAATTTATTCTGAGAACATAATTGTGTGCACAAAATTTTAACTACCATTTAGTGCAGCATTTTATTTTTATTTTTATTTTTGTAATAGTGGTGGGTAAACAACCTAAATATCCAGCAATGGGTCATTGGTTAAATTAATATTGCCACTCTACAGATTACTGTGCTTGCAAAGGATGTGGGAGAAATATTCATACTATATTAAGTAAAAGAAAGGTTACCAGTGTAGAATATCCCTGGTTTTATAAAGAAATAATGTAGACATACAGGGTATGTTTCTAGCAGGAGGACTCAGAAAGAGCACTACCCAGGCCACAGTAGTACTTCTGTTTCTATGATTAAAGGTCAATTTTCTTGTCCTTTTATGATTTCTGATTCATTTTTAGTAGTAAAAATATATGTTGCTTTTGTAAATTTTTAAAACTCTATTTGATTTTGCTTTGAATTCGAAACAAAAATAATTCTGCAGAATTCCAAATTGGTTTCCATAATTGAATGAGTAAATAACTTGCCAAAGTATCTACATTTAAAGGGGTTAATGTTCATTTGCAAGTACAAATTCTGATGTGTCAATTTAAAAATCAGTCTCATAATTTTAAACATGGTTTGCATACATGTACATAGAATTAGAATGTTGGAGGAGGTCTTAGCAATCCATTCTCACCTTTTTGCCTATCAGGGAAAAAGTCTATATAATTTTTTACTCAAAGTCAGAATACTTACAAAGTTGAGAATTAAGATGATGATGATGATTATTTGCTACTCCACATTGTCTCCAGGCTTCAGTGGTTTTATATCTATTCATTTTGCAAATATTTATTGTCTGATGGGAGGCACTGTGCCAGGTCCTGGCAATACTCAGTCCCTATCACCATAGAGCTCTTGATGTAGAGGGAAAGACAGGCAAGGAAGCTGGCAATTGCAGTAGAGTGAGAGGAAGACATAGGAGCCTATGGAACCATAGAAGAGGGGTGCATTCTTTCTCACCTTCAACCACCCCACCATCCAAGCCAGAGCCGGAAGTGAGTTTTTCCTTCTACTTAGTCTGGGAAACAGGATGGGTTTCTCTCCCTCCTTTCCTCCCTCTCTCTCCCTCTCTTTCTCTCTCTTTAAATTTTAATAAGTTTACTTCAAAAACAAGATGTTTGACTTAAGAGAAAACTATCTGGGACTTACTTCTTTTAGACTAATTTATTCCTACTTAAAGACAGATTGTTCTACATGTAACAGCTACGTACAAAAAAGTTATAAAGTTGTCCTTGGTTTTACAATGATAAATGAAAACATTAAAATTTTCCAATCAAGTAAGGTATGCAGGGATTTTTTTATGTTCTTTTTGTTAAACAATGAAAGTGAAATAACTTACTGGAATGTAAAGGTAAGACTGAAAGAGCAGCCACTAATGGAAAAGGGGGTATTTTCACAGAACCAGTATTTCCCCCATCCCATCTCCATTTGATATGGATTAGAGCATACTATTGGCCATTTAGTTAAAAAATGCAAATGCTTGTGCACATCCATCAGCTACTTGATGTACAGTAAAGGAATGGTGAAGGGGAAAATGAAAGGAGAGAAAATAGACTGTCGTCAGGATGTGGTGGAACCAAATTGCAGTTTGCTGATTAAGAATGTGTTGGAGTTCTGGAGTAAAGTAGCAGGTTCCCTTTTTAGTAGACACCCCGTCTGCTGCTGGAACACATCCCCCATGTCCAGCTGTGCAGTGTGTCAGTCTCATTGATTGGCTGCCCATCAAATCAGAACCTGATCTGCCTCAGTGACAAACCCGGTCGCCCACAATAAGCTTTCATTAATTTGCTAATGAAAGCAATTTAGAGATTAAGAAATTAGAAATTAAGATTAAGCTGCACCCCTGAACCGTCCTGACCCATCACCTTCAATGAACATGATCATTGTTCTCAATCTTGACTCCCTTCTTGGGCTTTTCATTGGCCACGGCGAGCGCTGGAGTCTCTCGGGCCGCTTCAGAAAAGAGGTGCCAGATCCGCACCGAACGTGCACCTAAGCAGTACCAGGAGCTCCAGAAGGAGGAGGGGGCCTGGACTGGCTTCTCTTGAAGTACCTGGTTTGCAAAT